CCCTGTGCTTAACTAATTAAGCACTGCGACATGAAGACGTATGGGGGAGTGGATGTATAGAGCCACATACTAGTGGCACTAGTTGGAGGTGAGTGGTCAGTTTCACGCCCCGGCCGCTTTACCCCCGTGGAAAGAGACCCCGGTACCAATTGGGTAGGAGGCTGGGTGGGCCCCAGAGCCGGTCTGGACGACGTGGAGAAGAGAAAATTCTTGATCGTACGGGACTCGAACTCCGACCCGATAGTCTTTTAGGAGACCATCTTGTCAGTAAGGCGTTTTCGGGCTCTAAATGAAGTCTCAATGTGAACTTAACCGACGGATCTAAGAACAAAGGGAACAGATAACTTCCTCTCGTGTACTCCTATTTCACTGTTATTCATGTACAAGGGCCCATGCAGCCTCGCATCACAAGATCCCCATACACAGATAACTCCATGGGGCTGAACCCTTCTTGAGAAGCCGCCAGTTGCTCAGCTCCTCAAGACCTTCCCAGCATTTTATGGGATCCTCCACTGGTCCCTATCCTGAGTCAGATCAATCCAGTCCACACCACCCCATCCTATCTTCCTAAGATTCCTCAGAATCGTACCCACACACCCCAACACCCCAACACCCAGAGCACCCTTGCAATCAAATTCGGCCACCTCGGAGTTCCCGAAATGTAAACGCTGTAGAGTTTGAGGTCCTCACACCGGTGGTTATGAACAGCTGTCCCTGTGCTTAACTAATTACGCACTACGTCATGAAGGCGTATGGAGGAGTGGATGTATAGACCCACGTGTTCTTGATCTAGCCGCTAGATGGAGGTGAGTGGTCAGCTTCACGCCCCAGCCGCTTTCCCCCAGGGGAAATAGCCCCCGGCACCCATTGGATAGGAGGCTGGGTGGGCCCTAGTGCCGGTCTGGACGACATCGAGAAGTGAAAATTCTTGCCCCAATCGGGACTCGAACTCCGACCCCTTCCCGTCTCTTTATAACTCCATGTAGTCGATCGAAAGTCAACAGTCTGAGCTATTCCTACTTCTCTTGCACGATTATATTGTCACATAAGAGGGGTGACTATAGACGGGGTTTGGATTGGTGAGTGGGTTTATTGACCGCTTATACACAGGACTCGGGACCACAAGCATTTACAGCGTCACCGCTAGTCTTCACAGTTCACAAACCACCCGTTAAGCCCTTTCCAGTTGGCTTCACCAGCCGTTCCCTGGTAACGGCTTCTAACAATGGAGACTCTTCAGCTTCACGCGCTCAGGCCCACTCTTCACAGACACCCATACAGAACTGATTTGGTTGTCAAAGTCAAAGTCACATTGCGACTGACGGTCAGTCAGTCAGTAAGTCTTGGTGTCGAGCCCCAGACAGATATTTATTACTGTTTGACAGTTAAGGTCTTGCTTCTGTGGGGAGCCCTCTCTGACCAGAGGACGGGTCTGTCTCTTGTATATGCTGCTGGCCCTTGCCAGCGCAGTCTTTCTCGGGTCCGAGTCCCGTGGGACTCGCGAGCGTATTTTACTGTCTCAGATTCGAGACTTGCCTTTTTGTTGCCTCCTACGACTCGCAGGGTCACGGTGGAGGTATTCGACCCCGCCTCCACACGGGTTTGACTTGGTCAAAGTCAAAGTTACTTCACGACTGGCGGTTTAACGCCAATCAGTTCATCTTGGCGTCAGGCCCCTTGAGGCCCAAAACCACAGATTTCTATTTTCCAACTGAACCCTTGCGGTAATAGTCCTCATGTAACATCCTCTGTAACGAGAAGATGGGTTTGCCCTACTTATCTCGGTCATAACCCCTCTGCACGGACAGAGTAGAAAACACCGCTTCCAACAATACCTCTATTGTTTCGCGTCGATTCGTTGCTGTGGAGGCGCGTCTCTTTGCGATTGTCACCTAGCAACGGCTGCTTAGCAACGCCAGAATATTCATCACAGTTGTGATATTAAGGATACAAAACTTCTACTGCCTCTTAATTGAATAATTGGAATAAAACTAATTAAGTTCAGTGCACACCTACAACAGGTTGCAATAAAGTGTACTGCATGCTTTAGCAGGGGGGCATGCGAAGGCGGCCAAACATAACCTCGTTTTGCAAGGAATGCACCAGGAACTCGTCACAATTCGAATTTCATTTGGCAGAGGCCTAGAGAGTTCCGAATTTGGAGAGCAGCGCCGTCCGCACTTACTTGCAGTCGGAACCGAGTCAGTCCGTAGTGGCCTCACAAGGAAGGCCAGTTCTGCAGATGGGGCTGTCTGAACCTGTGCTCTGCGGCGATTTCGTTCCTGTAAGGACTGGAAAAAGACAAGTAATTCATTAAGCATGGTACCATTAAGACGTATGGGGAGTGGAGGTATAGCTTCACCATTCTTGATCTTGGCAGTAGATGGGAGTGGTTAGCTTCACGCTCCGTCCACTTTACCCCCGCAGCAAGAGCTGCAATTGTATAAGAGGCTGGATGGACCCCAGCACTCTGGGCACTCTGGGATAGAAACATTTCTTGATTCTGCCGGGAATCGAACCCTGGCCATCCAGCCCATAGCCCGTTGATATATTGCACATGGATTGAATATTTTATTTACAGACGTTCTGTCAGTTGTGTTACCTTTCGTGAAGTAATTACATTGGTGCAAGTTGGCATGTAGAGGGAGGTGTTCCAGCCCTTGCCTGCGTTAATGACGAGTTCACGAAAACCTTCGGACTGAGAAATGATAATCTGAGGTTTCTTCGCGATTGGGAAGCACCTGGTTCAAAACTCGTCAGGTGGCCGAATATGTCCAAGGAGGTGCACGGTTTTGCTCAACCCCTCCATGCAAATATCGCATAGTGCGTTGGGAAGCCCCAGGATCCACTCAGTCCCCACATAGGAGCGCAACTGTCTCTTCACGTGGAAGCTGGACTCTCCTGGGGCAGGATCGGGCAACAAATTGGACTGGTTACGGAGCCACTGACGGAAAGGACTTCCCACAGCCTTCTAATTGAAAACTATTCATTATGAAACCTGACCTAACCTTCCGGGTGGGGCAAAGGTAGTACCGCGGGCAGAGGGGCGCGGGGCTGCCTTCATGATGACGCGGTGGTTTCGTCTCCTTTCCCCGGGGGAGGGAGCGATTAATCAACAAAGGAAACGCCGGGCAGCCCGTACACGAGACGAGAGACCTACAGCAGGTGCCTCAGTGCCTCAGCTGCTCTGTGACGTCGAACAAAACCGAGCGGGGCTCATTCGGCCCTCTTCGTGGAACGTGACAGTTCCTGTACACGGATGTAGGCAGCGCTGCAATCAGAGCGACCAGACTGCTGCCAATTAGTTGACTTTGTACGTAATCTGAAATGTATCTCTCGCAGCTATTTCACTGAGGCACTATGCTACAAGCCGAAAGGTCGTAGGTTCAGTTTCCGATGAAGGCAGTGTATTTTTCAATTTACCTAATCCTTCCAGCCGCAATATGGCCCTGGGGTCGACTCAGCCTCTAACAGAAATGAGTACCAGGAATCTTACTGTGTGTAAAGGGCGGCCGGCTCGTGAGGCTCACAACCTCACCGCCATCTGTGAGCCAATTCTCTAGAAAATGTGGGAGCCTCGCCGTCTCAGAACCCTATGGGCCTCCACGGCCTGTTACAGGAATAGCTTTACCTCTTACACACACACACACACAGACACAGATATATATATAGTATATGGGCCGTGGAGGCCCATAGGGTTGTGAGACGGCGAGGCTCCCACATTTTCTACACAATTGGCTTACAGATGGCGGTGAGGTCAGCCTTAAGCACCGGCAGGCCGCCCCTCCCCCCGCCAAGATATTCAACATAATATTTTAAAATGTTCTGAAATATAAATACGCATTTAACTCAGTCGGTATAGCGATGGACTGGTGGCTTGACGGCCGGGATTCAATTCCCGGCAGGGCAAGGGTTTTCTGGCTTCTCCACGTCTTCCAAACCGGCTGTGGGGTCCACTCAGCTTCCTATCCAATGGGTACTGGGGGCTCGTTCCCCGGACCTAAACCGGCCAAGGCGTGTAGCTGACCGCTTACTTCCATCTGGCGCCGAGGTAGTGGCCGATTTTCCAATCAACAAAGATCTCTGTGAACTGTTTCTTGTGTACGCTATGTCAACAGTGAAAGAGTGACCGATAGGGTAGGAGATATGCCCCTCTTCAGGGTGAACGTGAGGCGTGTAGGTACTGAGGGCAGGAAATGAAACAAACAGTGATATTCTTGTCACGATTGCCGTAGTTTGATATTCCATGTTCGACCATGACACATACATCAGAGGCAGATGTATGTTACAGTTTCACATTCAAAGCCACACAATCAGAGTACAGTATGGATATCAACGTGGAAAGGCAAACCACGCCAAGGAAAAACAATTATTGTCAAAGTGTTGCATTTCAGTGTGAAAGTGTGTCACGTGGAGCCTGGGCTGCTCCGACACACCCCCTTAAGTACACTTTCAGATAAAGAAAATAAACATATTATAATTTTGTTTGCAAGAGGAAAGTCATCTGTGTGTCTCTGCGCGCCGTCGGGACGGCAGCACTCACACAGCGGTTGCAGCAAACACCAACATCACGGACATGTTTGCGAATACTATAGTAACAAAATATTCTAATCACTGAATGTCTGTAACATGCGTGGAATAGACTCCACAAGTTTCCCGCTAACCCTCTCACTACCGAGACTGCCTTTCATTTGGCTGTTACAGTGTAAAGGTAAAGCCGTGAAAGCCCATAGGGCTGTGAGACTTCGAGGCTCTCACATTTTCTATAGACAATCGGCTCACAGATGGCGGTGAGGTTGTCAGCCTTGCGCGCCGGCCGCCCTTTACCCCCAGGGCCATGGTGGGGCTGTAAGAATTAGGTCAAATGAAAAATCCAATACCTCATTGGGAATCGAACCACTGACATCCTGGCTTGTAGCATAGTGCCTCAACCAACTGCGCTCCCGCGTGCTCCCTAGTGATTCAATACTGAGACATGGTCTTGTGTCTCACGAACCAGGTCTCTCTTCCCTGCCTCTCCCCATGCAGAGAAGATGAGCGAGTGGCTGTTGGGGGTGGGGGGATGAACGCAACGGCCGTAGCTCTGCTGCAGAACCTGCCGCTCACGGCTGGCCTCTCGTTTCGGACTGAAGGTCATATCGAAATTGTCTTTAATTTTCTTATATTTTCATTTCCGGCAGTGCAGCCAATCTTTATACAGTTCGGTGTTACAATGCGCAGGGGGCACGCGGTAGCGTAGTTGGCTGAGGCACTGTGCTACGGACCTAATCCTTCCAGCCGCACTGTGGCCCTGGGGTCGACTCAGCCTCTAACAGAAACAAGTACGAGGAATCTGCCTGGGGGTAAAGGGCGGCCGGCGCGTAAGGCTGACCACATCACTATCTGTGAGCCGATTGTGTAGAGAATGTTGAAGCCTCGACGTCTCACAACCCTATGGGCCTCCAAGGCCTGTTACAGGGATACCTTTACTTTATACTGCATGCGACCATGACACAATGAAAGCCAGCATTCAGCAGAGAATTGCTTAGTGTCCTGTATACATTGGAGGATTATCATGAACTATACGCTAAGCGACTGCCACGTGGTGGTTTCCACGCTAACATCTCACGTTCCTCCAGGAAATTAACCATAGGCTTCGAGTCCTCGCTGTCTTCATGTTGAGCCAGGACTTCTGCCTTCTCGAGCAACGAGTGCATTTGCTGATGGCAAGGAAAATATTTCGAAATATTTCTCTGGCAAACAGCCCCACATTAAAGTCTTGCTTTCGTTCGTATGAGGTAGGAATATGTATTATTGTCCACTTTGATGGGCCCGTTTCCTTGTTGGTGCGTCGACTTGTGGCATCATTTTGAGCAAGCTTTGTAGCTAGTCGTCTTTGTATCAGATTAATGAAGTCTCAGAGGAAACAATATGATTATCACTTGTCTGTTTACATGCTATTAGCTGACGATTCAAAATCCTGCTTTCTGGAACTGGACCCTAACCTTATAAAATTCAAGTTTCAGAACGCGCTCTGCTACACTCTACACTCTATTCCTGTACAGGAGAACCTCTCTGTTAGCCACGAGCCAGCCGAGGAAACAGTGACAACCCTTCAAAGTGGTGAAGAGGGCGAAATCCTGCTTTACGAACACTTTGCGACTCGTTTACGTGGTGACCTTGTATAAGCGTGTTTTTGAATTGTGACATGCGGTCTCTTTTTATCAGATCAATGACATTTGTGGTAAAGTCGGTGTTAATTGTGTAATTTAAACTTAACGCAATGTACATGAGAATGAAAGCGACGATTTTTGTGTATGGAACAAAATATGCAGTTGCTCTCGGAACTCAGGTCACCACTTCGTGTCTCTCTCATTCTTAAATAAGCAACGGGTTTGAGTGCAGCACCAGACTAACGCGTGTGGTTGTTCTTCATGTGAACAGGAAAGGTTTTGCGATGTTTTATCTGGGATAAGCATTCCCCCCCCCAAATCTTTAAGCTTGAGGCATTACCGCAATAACGCAAAAGAATTCAATAAAACATGGAAGTTAAAAAACAAATTTCGTTTGTCATTTTATATTCTTTTGTTATAGAAGACAGCGGGGTGTGTTTACTTTTACGTTGCTTGCTTATTTTGACAGCGCGCTGCCTAACGATACATGCCAACTACAGTTCGAATCATTTTTAAATTCGGGGACAGCTGGAAAGAATTAAAAATTTATCGAAAACAGAATAAATTATATCCAATATTAGATTACGCATGTTTGTTTGCTTATTTTTGGGCAACAACTGACTGACTGACTCTAAGTGGTTGAATACTCCTTGAGAAGCCGCCAGTCGCTCAGCTGTTCAAGAATTTCCCAAACGTGCCGCCCAGAATTCTGAATATAACAGTCAGTTCGTAAGTATGTGGGACTGTGCAATCAGAAATGAACCTGGCTCCGGAAATACACAGGACTGTTGCACTCTGCGGCCTCCTGCACACGCTGAGCCGACCGCTGATGATCCGGATGGTGACACAGATTGGGAGGCGATAATTTGAAAACCTCCATCAGTGTCGCTTTGTTCTCCACAGGAACAGCAAACAGAGTGCGGCTGCCTCAACTGACTGCGCACTGACAGTGAAACGACTGCAAGTCGGGTGTCCGGGGGAGAAGTTTGTCACCGCTTCCAAATTGGCTCTGTGGCGACCCTCGGGGTACAGCGGTCGCAGCGCCATGCTGATTACTCATTTTAACCACTGCCTGACGGCTGAGAGGTAACTTTGTAGTTGCAAGAATTTTATCATAGCCTATATATGTTAGGGACGTCACAACTGGGCACGGAATTTTGGTCAAATTCTTCTGATCTCAGCATTTTGCATAGCTCATTTAAAATAGAACACGTAAGTCTGGTAGTCGTGAGTATGCATTGTGATAATCCGACTGTTTCAGTACTTCTGAATTCTTACTGAGACAGGCTGCAGCGCTGCTTGCTTGGATGGATGGACCCAGAAGGTCTCCTTGCGACGCAGAACCCCAGTATGGTCTCCTGTGGAACTGGGGCACTGTCACATTACCTAACACACGGAACTTCGCCTTAGGAAGTCCCTGCTCATAAGTGAACAGGCAGGACTGGCAGCTGCCTCAGAATTCCGCCAACTCCTGTCCCTCACGCAATGAGAAGAGCGGACGGACACCGGATGGAACTTCGAAGTGTTACTCCCTTTACGTTTCTGACTCCAAGCAACACTCCGCAAACACGGCCCAAGGGATGATGGACGGTCAGAAGTCGGCGTCTTCGTGGCAGAGGCGACTCAGTAAGATCTCTGTGTAGATCGCGTTGATGGGCCCTTCAACATGATAGCCTGGTCCCACATCCGGACGTTCTTCCAGCTGGAACGAATCATTTCCTATGGTTACTTCGTGCTCCACAAAGGATCCTGGAAAACTGGGCAGACGAACATACGCACACATTTTCCGAGAGTGAGCAACACGTCGCATTGCTTATGCTTTCGGAAAATGGCACACACGTATGCAGTGTATGCATGTATGTATTGTGACGTATAGATCCACTGCTAGGTAACGACTCGGCACACACATTCTCGCCATTAGTCTGTGTGTGAAGTGCAGTCAAGAGCTGTAAAAATGTCCAGTAAATCCAGTCATCAAACCAAACCCCGTCTATAGTCAGCAGATCGCGTGACAATATGTACGCCCACATTTTCCTCACGGATTGGGATCCTTCATCAGAAACCGCTGACTAAGAAATTCTCCGCCTTCGTGTCGCGTTCACAAGAATCTGCTACAGGCTCATTTTCTAATCAGTTCGCGCCCTAACATTCTATGGGACTCCCAGCTCTTCCTTCATGTGCTGGGACTAAAACTGGGCACGCATCCCTCACGCCTTTCATGTGCGTTACAGTTTCACTTTTGCTTTAATTATCTATGCATTTGATACTGAATTGCTTCGAGCGGTTAGATATTATGGCGCATAGACCCGTTGCTAAGTGGTGACCCTGTAAATAGAGGCCATTTCTCGGCAACGGCTTGGTAAACACGATCCCGGATACGCAAGCAACAACAGAGTTTCCGTTGGAGACGGGGTGTTTTCTACGTGGTCCGTACCGAGGACAAAGTCAGTTGAGTTCATCTGGGAGGCAGTTCTGTAGGGGAGGCAGCGAAGACAGGACCTGAGTGCGTGAAGCTGAAGAATCACCACTGTTAGAAGCCGTTATCTGGGGACGGATGGTGAAGGCACAGCGACCTGGAGAAGGCTCAGCGGGTCTTGTGGTCAACTGTGAATTGTGATTATCGGTGAAACTGCAACTGCTTGTAGATCCGTGTCGTGTAAATCCATTCACCAGTTCAAACCCCGTCTATAGTGACACCCATAAATCAGAAGAATCAATATCCCAGCGGCAATTCGAACTGGGTACGTTCCGAAACGTCGCCACTAGAACCAACTAGCTCTGTTCAATTCGCGCCACATACCTTGCAGCCCCACACATCACTGATCTGAATACTCCAGAAACAAATATGTTAGCAGCTACGGCCGTTTCTACTGCATAGAATGATGTCCCGTGAAGTTACGAGCGCAGATATGCCCACCGAGCAGGTTCTCTCAGGCGGTCACATTCCCGATTTTATTCGAGAGGTCCTCGATTCGAGTCTCCAGTTGGGAATTTACTTTTCTGTGTCTGAAGGCCACCACCGAGACACTGTGCTTAGATATTGATGGCTTGCCAGGAAATGGCAGAGGAAGAGAGAAGTCCCGACTATTTCGTGCGAATGCTTAAGTCACTTTTGCACTTTCCTTCCGCACGCGTTTAATGTATTCTCATGTAAGCTTTATGAGTTACGGAACGTGCACAGCGAACTCTCTCCCTCACTGTTTCTGCTATAGGCAGGGTTCCTACCCAAACCCAAGCTGATGCTCTGAATGAGGATATTAATGTCACTGCAATCTGTGACTTGCAGACGCCCCTTAACCCCCCCCCCCCCACCCCCCTCCAACNAGCCCTTCTTCGTAGGAAACGGAGGAAAAGACAGAAAGTAGCAGGAAGAGTGGAACCTCTTCTCCTGACATCAATTTCCAATACAGTAAACCGGATTAATTGCAAGGGGGAAATTGTCATCAAGATTTAACGATAAATCGGATTAATGAAGCAAGAGATAGCCCTACAAGACAAAGAAGAACTTGGGTAACAAATAAACGGAAAATTGAGCAATATATGTAGTGCTGATGAAAATAAATAAATAAAAAAATCACTGCAACCATTTCTTCCTCTGTCAGAAGCTGAAACCCAGCTGAAGCCAATCCTGGGTATATTTGCTTGCGCGGGTTCAGTCTCTCCAGCTGCCCTCAACTCAGTCTGAAAGTGCTCTTGCTCCTAAATCCCACGTGTCTTTGTAAGTTTGTTCTCAACTCTGAACAGAAATTGTTCATATCTCGACCCAGATGAACTCTAAATTGAATGGCGAGGGTTTGCTGTAACTCAGGAACCTTCCTAACATGTAACCCAGCTTCATGCGTCTCATTCAACTCTCTACGTCTGGTTCTTGCTGTACTGCGTCTGCTACTGGATCGAGGCTGCTTCTCCGTCAGTTAGTGACGCACACTGTTACGTCATCATTAACAAGTTACTAGATCCTAGGGCCGTGCTATAGCTCAAGCATTTAGTCGCTGGCTTCTCACCGCGGCGGCCCGGGTTCTATCCCGGGTCTGGTCAAGTGGGATTTGTGGTGGACAAAGTGGCGCTGGGGCAGGTTTTCTCCGAGTACTTCAGTTTCCCCTGCCAATCTTCATTCCACCAATTGCTCCACAATCACCCTCACCTATCATCTGGGGCTGGTACAATAGGCCAGAAGTGGCCGCAGTACAAGGGACTTAGTCCCACCCCACTAGCAATAAAGAAAAATACTAGATCCTATTATCAACCGATGCCTAGTCACGGCTTCCGTCCCGTGAAGTTGACTGCGCAGGATATGACGTAGGGTGGTTGGGCTCTTGCTAAAACGTTGACAGGTTGCCGACGGGAGCTGCCTCATGCGGAAGCAGGCAAACGAGTCAGCACGGCTACCACAAATAAGAAGCATGCAATCCCCAGTCCGTTTGGGCTAAACACCGTCTTCACAATTCATTTTCTTGAAATACTGTATTAATATTATTCCGGTAAAACTTCATTTTGCTACCTACCGACTTGCAAGAGACTTATTTCCGGCTTCCTGTTAGTTGTGGTCTCTCTGTGTTCAACGTGCACACACATATTGACCTGAAATGTAGTCCGGTGAAAATTAGCTGGCGTTTCGGAGAAACATGTCCCTGGCGAATAAACTAAGCAAGGAACCAGAAAGAGACAGCAATCTGCTTTATGTTTATTTATCCTTGACTTCCTTGGAAGATGGAAGCGACATATTCTACCGAAACGTCGGATGATTTTCACCAGACTATATATCTTAGTCGTTATAACGACGGGCTACGAGCAGGATGGCCGGGGCAAGATTTTTTTCTTCTCTACAGTGTTCTTTCCCAGGGGTAAACCCGCCGAGGCGTGAAGCTGAATACTCACCATCATCTAGTGTACAGGTATAGAACTATACCCCCACTCCCCTATATACGTATCTTCATGGCATAATGCTTAATTAATGAAGAATCCCACATCCCAGAGCCAAACAAGTAACTGCATTCAGACTGCCTCGCCTTCTCGTACCTTGTGGAAGTGACACGCGCATTTCCCTTGCAGGAAATCCTTGTAGCGGGCTGCGGTCATGTTGAAGGTGTCCACAACGTCCATGTGGTGGTGCTTAGCGAAAGCGGCCAGGCCCATCGAGTGTTTCAGCAGCCTCTTCTGTTCAGCCTACAAGGACATTGGGTGTTCAGCAAATTGTATTCTGCAGAGGATAAGTGAAACTGACTTCACGAGCTGTCCATGCGGGAACTCCTTTGTGGCCCTTCTCGGCATTTTTGTATGTTATCTTTCCGCGTCCCGAGAAAAACCAGTCGAGGAATCTGGATCTCAACAGGAAAACCAAAATAGGACAAGCAGACAAAATATTTCCAGCGTTAGGAAATGAAATGAGCTTGCACGAAGCAGCGCGTACCGTAACAGCCGGCTGGATAATGCTTCTGGGCGCACTCTTCAACAATTCGACCAACGTCGACACAAAATGAAAGAAATTTTTCTACCTCTGGAGCATTCGTCACGAAACGATACGGCAGTTAACTCTTTGTGTGCCTTAAATTTTCAGTTTAAGAATGATAACTTCTAAATATTAAATATTTGTGGTTTTATCTTTAATTTTTAAAATGATTCTTATTTGGAATTTATTTTGTGTTAATATCACCGTCTTTTAACGTTCTGCATTATCAAGTGTGTACATCAGGCAGAGATCATTTTACATGTCACTGAATTACATAATCTTGTGCAATATATTGTTCATAATAGCAATAAACCATACGTTTATTAGTAAAGTTTTTTCTTACAGAAAACCTCTGAAACTTCTAGTAAAGCCCGATCACAGAAAAATTATTTACTGTTTATTATTATGGTCGCTCATCATTATTCAAAAACACGCTAATGAAATGCTACGAAAAATAAGGAATAAGATATGATTTCGGGAATTCCCGATTTCACGTTCCCGAATTTGGAAACATTGGCAGACGATAGACAAATTTATAGAAGTAAATGCTTACCCTGGAAAGGTAGTGAACACCTTCAGCTGGGATATGGAACCCAGAACCCAGGGTCTTCACGACAAGATGGGCGTGCTGTAACCCTTCCCTGGAACCAGACAAAAAACATGCAGTATCCACATATATATATATGTATACTAAAAGGTAAAGCTATCCCTGCAACAGGCCGTGAAGGCCCACAGGACTGTGAGACGTCGAGGCTCCCACATTGTCAAAACAGTCGGCTCATAGATGGCGGTGAGGTTGTGAGCCTCACGAGCCGGCCGCCCTTTACCCCCAGGAAGATTCCTGGTACTCATTTCTGTTAGAGGCTGAGTTGACCCCAGGGCAATAGTGGGGCTGGAAGGATTAGAGCCTCATCGGGAATCGAATCTGAGAGCTTCCGGCTTGTAGCATAGTGTCCTCCCCTTTAATAGAACCTATGAACCAAAACACTGACCGGTTTAGCATAGGGACAATTTGGCCCAGAGACCGGCTATAATCATTGAGGTTTCTCGAAGTTTCCCTCGCTTGTACCTCAAGTAGGCCACGGCCGCTTATTTCCCATTCATAACTCGACTCTACAGCGTCTACTGAGTGCAGCGTAAAACAAAACACACAAAGTCGTGCGCAAACAGCAGCCGGTAACTCTGTCTGCGTGGGATCGAATCCTGGTCAGGCTACAGCTGTATGAACGCTTGTGTGCCGTGCCGTGCCCTGCCGTGTTATGCTGCTTTGCGCAGCTAGAGGCCTCCTGATGGAACGCCCCCCCCCCATTTTTTTCTGTAAATGATTCGTTTGTTCCCGAAATTAGCTCTGAACTGTGGACTTCAGTGCTCGCACTCTGCTTTCGCGACGCCTGCAACAATAATAAGAATATTTCACAACAATGCTACCAGAGCCGCCGTATTCGCCAGACAAATTTGTATGCTGTATGCAGGTTCAATTCCCAGCAGGGGCAAACATTTCTGTTCTCCGCTCCGTCCAGACCGGTTCTGGGGCTCCGTCTGGGAGCCCTCAAAGAGTCTGCATCCACTGTAGTGCTTGGCAGTGCACGCTGCATGCAACTTACTCGGTACACAGCGCCCTGAAACCTTACCTCCTGAGGACTCGGAGAAGAGTGTGCAGGTGCTGCGTGGCCAGCCAATGAACTCCGCCGACAACGACAACAGTGTTGCTTGTGTTCTGCAGAGGCTGAGACCTGTTCACAAACACGTCACACAGTCACTGGCAACAGAACAGTGCACGTGAATTGGGGCACAAATCTGAGTGCAAGGAACTACCGCTACTACTACTACTACTACTACTACTACTACTACTACTA